TAATAATAATAATAATAATAATAATAATAATAATAATAATAATAATAATAATAATATATAATATCCGAGTTAAGATATTAGAATTAATACGAATTATATTTGATGACGGTGGAAGAGATGCACAAAAGCCTTTTGTAACCAACTGATACACTTTCTACAGTATGTAAAGGAGTAGGATTTGTATGTTTGTTTTGAAAATAAAAAATGTTTTATAAAAAAAGAAAAAAGAAAGCTCAGTGAAGGAAGTGAGGTTATTATGTGGGTCTTTCTACATTGCGCAGAAATGATCGGAATATCCCGGAGACCATCATAGGGAGGAGAGTTGCTGTCAACCCATGTAGCTAATGCTGCATGAAGGACCCTACTTTCCATTCATTCGTGATCAACATCTTGTGACAGGGTTCCTAAAATGCAGTGGCGTAATTTTTAGAGAGAGAGGGAAATTTTCTTTGTCTACATGAAGGTTGTAATTGAGTGGTGCAGTGGCCAATAGGTGGAGTCCTTGCCTCACAATCAGGAGGCTATGAGTTCAATCCTAGGTGGAAGCAGATATTTCTCTCTCTTGAGCACATTGAAAAAAAAGCCTCCTCATTGGTAACAGGAAGGGCATCTGGTTCCATTCAGTTGCCCAGAGTCCACCCCGCAAGGGATTATGGGGTTGTTAAAAGAGGATGATGATGATGATGAAGGTTGTAAATGGAAGGAGGAGGTCCCTGGTTAAACTGCATTGCTTGAAGCCTCCTGGGAATTGCAGAACATAGTTTATTCTTTTTCCCCGAATTTTTTTAATTGTTTTTTTCCCCTCTACAACATCTTACAATCATCACATTAACATTGCAAAACTTAGTTTTAAATCGTGCCAGTAGAATCCAGCATCCGTGTCATTTTGTTAATGTCTAGGACAGCCCAGAAAAAAATGCAGCAGTTGTCCGGGGAAACTTCTACATCACTGGTGACCGAGGCTGGATGGATGAAGATGGCTACTTCTGGTTTATTGGAAGGTCTGATGATGTCATCATCTCCTCAGGGTTGGTCCATCTCAACATATGTTAGAAAAAGTCGGAGGGTGGGAAAGTGTTGTGGCCCAGTAGGAACCCTTGGAGCTGCCATCAGACTCCGACAGCGAGGGGCCCTCTGAGTCGGCTCTGGAGGATGTAGAAGTTTCC